GAAGTGAATTTTTCAAAGATGTTTGAAAATACTGTAGACATTTCCAGTCTGAATAACATAACCAAAAACCGTTACAAACACTTTATCTGTAACAAATATATATTGGAAAGAAAAATACTCAAATTATGTAGTTTTTCTCTTATAACCGGAAGTTGTCGATTTTGTTTCCGGTGGAACTGCTATATATTCAATCAACAAATAAGATGCTTTAATGTGATGCAATAAACTTTTCATAAAAGAAAAGTTGAAATTTTGGATTTTTTGACCACTTCCTGTGACGACCGGAAGTGACAACGGACGATGTTAACCCACATGATTTTGCCTTCTCATCAAGATCTACCACTCCTATAAGTTTGGTGTCTTCATCTCTTACCATTTACGAGATATAGCTATAATAACTTCTCATTTTGAGGACAGGAAATCACGCAACCGGAAGTGAATTTTACAAAGATATTTGACGTTACTGTAGTCATTTACAGTCTTCATAACATATCCAAAAATCATTACAAATACTATATCTATGAAAAATATTTGTGGGAAAGAAAAATACTTAAAATATGCTGTTTTTCTCTTATAACCGGAAGTTGTCGTTTTTATTTCCGGTGGGACTGATGTATTTCGAAACTACGAATAAGATGCTATAAAGTGATGCAAAAAAGTTTCAAAAAATAAAAAGTTGAAATTTTCGATTTTTGGATTACTTCCTGTGACGACCGGAAGTGACGGTGGACAATGTTAACCCAATTGGTTTTGCTTACTTATCAAGATCTGTAACTCATATAAGTTTGGTGTCTTAATCTCTTACCGTTTCTGAGATATGATTCGGACAATTTTTTTTGAAAAATACGGAAATCGAGCATATCTGACGACCGGAAGTGACTTTTGAAAAACTGAAAACTGCAATTGAAAGACATTTCCACTCTCTATCATCTCTGAAAATTTCATGAGAATCCGTCCAGCCATCTCTGAGAAATCGTCGAAACAAAAAGGGGAAAAAAATAATAATAATAAAAAAAAAGAAAAAGAAGAAACAGTAGAATCGCTATAAGGTCTTCCGTCTGAAACGGAAGACCTTAATAATAATAAGAAACCGAGTAAAAACAATATGTTCCCAAACTCCGTTTGGGGAACATAATAAGAATAATAATAATAAGAAACAGAGTAAAAACAATATGTTCCCCAACTTCGTTTGGGGAACATAATTAAGCAACATTAAGCAATGTTGTTGGTTACCAGCCATAGTAAAATGTACAAGTGAAACAAATTTTAAACGGAAGTAATCTTTAAAATTTCCCTCTGATTTTTTTTTCTTAAACTGGTGTAAGTTATTTTAAAAGAAAAACCCTTACCTTGTATTTTTTATTCTTTAAGTTGGTGCCCTAGATTAAAGATAAGTATTGCCAATTTAAATTGATGCTCAAAAACAAAGTATCAAGAGGATCTTTTAGTGTGTTTTTAATGTAATTGACGTGTCGTCTGCGGTTGTATATACCGGATATACAGATTTGTTACTAAGAGTGCATCATATGCTACATGCATTTGAAATCGAGGAGGTCTATGGACGTATGCGCTCACCTGTATCTCTTTCCTTTTATAGGAGAAAAAATCTAAATAACTTATGAATCGTAAATAGCTTATTCAGTGGACTTATATCTAGTGTAATGAATAGATCTAAAAAAATAGTTTAGGATATTTTTATTGAGAAGTAAAAATGTACATGTATGTTAATGGGTTGTTTTTTTTTAATAAATCCGTACATGTACCTATTTCTTTCGACCCCTATTTTGATTGTAGAGAATGAGTATATAAAACTTAAAGAAACCTATGTGAAACTGAATTAACTAAAATTAGATAAATCAACAGAATTTGGTCCATATGGACATTTCATATGTCAAAGACATATCATATCCTCTTTGAGTTAACTCAAATAAAAAAAAACATACATGTATGAGTTTTGAAGCGCATTAAATCGATCATAAACCTTTGTCGTATTGTAAACTTTACCAAAGTGTATTAATAACAACATTATATGGAGGACATCCTCCCCTTTCAAATGAATTATACCATGAATCATTGTATACATCATGCATTCCCCAATCAAAAGTTCGTATTGTACATATAAATGTAGTAGATTTCCCCCAACATATTAGTGATTTTCTGTTACTTTGAACCCCCCCCCCCCAATTCTATTAGATATTGTTTTGGCTTTCAGCTCTATATTCTTGTGAGCTAGATTAAAAAAACCTGACGATCGAGATAAAATAATATTACACTTTCCCGCAGCAGATGTGAAAGGTATCGATTTTTTGTCGTTTAAATACACATTTATTAAACGTTTTTTCCCAATGAAAAACAATGATATTAACACTATTTTATCATCTCTTTTGTAATTGTCTATATTTTTCCAATTTCTCTGGGCATACAGTGTGCTTTTCCTCATATGCTTTGCTTCTGAGAAAGTAATGACGTTAAAAATTGTAAAACGGAGAGACATACATGTATACATATGTACAGTGTATATATAAATGAAATGACCAAATAAAAAATAATAATGCCAGATAAATACATTAATATATAATGATGACCCCTGGTCCATGATGAAAGATCACATACACGTGCATGATCCTTTCTTTTTTTGCAAATGAGCGAATTTTTCTTGTTTATAGAATAAATAAAAGTTTAATGAACGTATGTAACTACGGATATCAACAATAACAATGAAACTGTTAAGTACGTTAAATCTTTTTAATTAGCCATCAGCACTCTAGGGAAAATGTTCATGAAGAAATCTTAAGAGGCTATTGTAAGTCAAGTTCATAGGAGACCTTGAATGTATACGTACTTGTACGTACTACCACTAAAGTCTTTCGAATAGGCTGATAAGACAGTTGTGAACAAACCACTTTTTCAGTCATTAAATTAAATGGTCTCGGGAGTATATTTAAAGTATGACAAAAATGAGACAGAGAGATCTGTTTTTCCCTCTTTGGGTAAGGGGTACATACATTTTAAATAAACTGGTAATCTGTCAGTCTCAACAAAATGAAATAAAATGTGTAAAAATTGAGAAATAGCTTTCGCCACGTACCTGGATTTCTCATGTCCGGTTTATTATTTTTCTTCATGATCAGGTACAACGACGTATATATTTACCTTGTGACGTCTATCTATTCAATCTGTCCATTCAGGTGAATATTCACTGAAGCATGCAGATTTTTCAAAAGATTTAAACTTCCCACCCCTCTCAAACATTTCTACAAAGTTATCGGACTTTAACACTTACGAAATCAATATACCTTTGAGAAACGGAAGGCAGTATATAATTGTGCAAAATTAGATATAAACGTCCATATGATCCATGTAAGTTACAATATCCCAAAACAATTCATTTCAACGTACAGGAAAATGACGTCACAATGGAAATATCCGCCAAATTCAACGCATTAATTTTTATCAACATTATATCACCAACTTTTAAAAATCTGCTTCAATATTAACAATCATTTTACAATTATGTAGCTTTTTGACCTCTCCATTATTAATTTTCAGATGTAGAAGACAAATTATACGATTCAAATGATTTTTTTTTTACAATAGAAATGGACAATAGAGAATACAAATAAAAAATTATACAAATCAAATGGAAAGTTATAGAATAAAAATGGAAAATTATAGAAAACAAATATTAATTATATACAATACAAATGAAAAATTATACAATTTAGATGGGAAATTATAGAATATGAATTTGTAATTATACACGTAAGATACAAATGAAAAATTATACAATACAAATGGAAAAGATAGAATATTTCAACGTGTGACATGCCGTACAGACCATTTTTTGTAAGGGAAAAAACGCTTTTGTTTGGTATTTTATGCAATAAATTCGGAACGCTTAATATACAACTGAAATTTGTGAATGAGTGAAGCGAATTAAAATTAAGATTTGCTGTGAAATACTTTTTAAAAAGACTTTTTATACATAAGTTTACGTTCAGGTCAAAACTCACTATGTAAATTTAGTTAAAACTATACAAATCCAGATATGCGTATGAAGTCCTAGGGTTGATACCTGTATCGATCGATCTTTTACTTGTATTTTATATAAAAAATATTTTGTCCGTATTTGTGAAGAATATTACAATTATCTACGCTCTCTAGATTTTCCTTCTGAGCTTGAGAAATTTCGAATTTTGTCGCTGCAATATCAGATTAAAATTTAAAAAAACCAAAATTCAAAAATTCTCACCTTTAGTATTTCTTGTTCATCATTTTGTGTGTAGTCAATTTTTCAGAGTAAAAAAAAAGTGTCGGCAGCTTATTACTAGCACGATATTTATGTTCGTGTTGAAATTTTATATTTGGTCGTCGTTTTACAGAAAATACTTACAACGAGGATTAAAAAAATCTATTTATGCAACCTTTATGACAAGTACAAGTACATTGCTTTATTATTTTTTTTTTCAATATGACAGTGCGACATTTAATTCCATACCCGGCATTGTCTAGACCATTTGGAACCATTTCTAATTGCGACTTCCAAAAAAAAAAAAATCTAAGCACTTGGTCGCTTTTTTTAGCAGTATCACAAGGTCTGATGTTGAATTCACAAACCACCCCCCACTCTCTCTTTTTAAAGATGTCTGAGTCCCATGGGAAAGATGGGCGTTCGTTTAGATTAACAAATAGCTCACCTTTCTCCCGGGGGGTGGGGGGGGGGGGTGTACACGTCGGATGGGATGTACTGGGATTTTTCTCCCACTAATTTGTTCAAATGGGATAAATCCCACGGAAATTTTCCTCTAGACAAAAAACCTAGCTAGAACTCAGGTTCTCAAAGGTGTTCACTGTTATCCCCCTAACGAGTTCTATTAAATATGTTTAGACAGCATCTGCCTCTTTCTATATAGATGCATGTTCATGTACGTTGTATACCTATTTACACGAATTTTACGGTTATCTCGCCCCCTTAAACATATTTGAATGACAGAAATTCGTCATCAATTTAAAGTAAAAAACGTTGGATCACTTACGAACCATGTACGGAATGATATATTATAAAGTGCTCCGATTATTATCAGACCATTTAAGTTAAGCATCCTTGTGTATGGGGACTCTACGACACCGCGACTCAACTTAATTACAAAAACAAACGTCCAAAACAACAACTGATAAGTTACATCCTCTTTGGCGATTAAGGATTTCTGAAAATCTAAACACCGATATGACAGACTAGGTAGCTAGCTCGGTAGAGTGATTCAGTAGTCTGGACTTGGTGGTCAACCGACAAGAAAGAATGGCATCAGGAAGGTTGCATGCGAGGAAATCATGTCGACATTTCTTGAATCTGGTACTCAGTGTTCGGAAAATTCTGATCATTATCATTACACCGATTATTCTGCTTCCGATTCTTTTAATGGTGGAAGGAAACGTAAGTTTTATTTTCATTTTATGCCATCTTTACTTTCAACTGTGCACTCTGCCTTATAAATATTTCATGTGTAAACTATTAATCATGTCAATGCATGTGTTAAACTATTCAGCATCACCTTTATTGTTTAAGATGGGGATAGTATACATATTACCCCTCATTTAATAAATCTAGCTTTTAGATGAATGAAAGAAAGAATTTGGTTAATTTATGTCATATTTGGGCTAACATCCTTTGCTTCTCAGTGACCTGTTGCAATGAAGTACTGTAACAACAAAAGCCGCCACAATGAATAAATAATCCGATGGTATGCGTACTTGTATTTATGGAAATAACAAATCTTAAGGGCGGACATAAAAGGTTAATGTCAAAACTTTTCTATAATCAGGTCGTATAAGTAAGACACACATGTTTCAAACTAGAAAAGGTTTGACAAGTGTATCATGTGAATTGTTCATTCTTTTGATTGCACTTACATGTACTTTTTAAAACAAGCACTTACGGATCCAACTAAAATTCTGTTAAAATGCTTTATATTGATGCAGTTTCTCCAAGCAATTCTTTTTTAATTCTTCAACATCTATTCATTCATCTGGTGTAGTTTTAAAGACTTCTATTTATATATTTTTTTATATAGAGGAAAGAGTAATATGCAAAAGGTTGAAAACACACGTGCGCCTTATGTGAATGTGTAATTTTCTTCTAAAGAATTTTAAATATTCATTACCTAGTATTCTCATGCACCGTATAAACAATGGGAATGCATAGTTAAAAGGACAATAAACTATCGATGAGCAGAATCTATGTTTGACTGCGTAACAACCTTGCTTTGTACATGATGCACATAAATTATAAAGATTTACCTTAGGAGAAATTATTTGGTGAGGTTTATAGATAATCTTTTGGGAAATATTCGCTCAATGATATTTTATTTAATGTTTTAGGAAGCAAAATGTGCCTACTGTATTATTGTAATGGCGATATATTGGATAACAGAGGCTCTACCAATAGCTGTGACGTCATTGCTACCAATCATCATGTTTCCTATGGTTGGACTATTAAGTGCCAAAGATGTGTCAAACAAATATCTCAATGTAGGTATTGTACAGCGTGACTGAGGTACTTTTATGACAAAAATCAAGATCATAAAAAAATAATTGCAGCTTATTTTTTTGATATTATGTCTTATTTTTTTTTATATCATTTCAAAAGTGTTCCATAAAACTGTCGTTTACTTTGAATGCTTTATAAGAACATTGACTTAATAGATTAGAACTTTTATTTTATTCAATATTACAAAAGCGAAGTAAACTAAGAGAACTACTTGCAGGACACCGCCATGCTATTTGTTGGAGGTTTGATCGTGGCAGCCGCCATAGAGTACTGGAATATACATAAACGTCTGGCCCTTAGAGTCCTCATGCTTGTCGGGTCCGAACCAAAATGGCAAGTTTTTTGTTAGCATTACAATGTACATAGTCATGTATAGATATTTCATCATAAAACAGTTGGCCTATTGTAACAAACTTGTCTTTACATGAAAATAATATACATCCCATACATGTAATTATAAACACGTTTACACAAATACAGTTTGACATAAATCTCAACAAAATACATTTAACCATAAGTGTTCTAGCAACTACCCACAAAAAAAAACCCCAAGCACTAACATGCTGAAAGCCAGATATCATTAATTAAATGAGGCAATTGTAAATCGTCGTTTACAATTTGAGATGTACAAAAACATGCACTATTCAGTGTTAAGGCAATCGCAAATTCTCGGGCCTTTCCGACTAGCGGAAAAACAACATCGAATGTATATGGTAGACGCCATTACAACCCTCCCTTTTCACGATCTTTGAAATAAATGCATGGAGACTTTTTATCTGTTGAATATGGAGTTTAACTTTATTCAATGTAATGATATTACCTAAAATTTACTATAAAAGGGACTTCTAACGCAGTCTGTCCTTATTTGAATGAACAGGAAATGTATAAATTTTTAACATGCGGTTATCTTAATACATTCGAGGTTGTTTTTCCTACCTCTGACGGAAAGACCCGAGATGATGCGATTGGTTTTAAGGATGTATTCTTATGATACACGGAAAAAATACGTGCATTAAACTTTCCACATGCTTATATTTTTCTGAAAGTGTAATATCTAAGGAATAATTTAAAGACAACAAAAGTGTATGTTAAGGTTCATCTAAGAGAGATTCAACCCTTCGAACATATGCCGAAATAGAGCATGCCATGGGAAATTTAATTAAAAATGCTATTAGACCATAAAATACCCCATTAACTTATAAATACAATCAATTTAAACTTAATTTTGCTAGATTTACTTGAAAGTATTGCAAAGTTGATTTTTAAGCAAAATATGAGCAAATAAATACCAATTTTAAATAACATGTACGCAAAAATGTTGTTTATCAGTGTCAAAATTTTCCCCTATAAAATTGCTCGAAAAACCGAAGAAAAACATATTTCTACAATTAAACTTTTTAAGAAAATTGTTGTAAAGTTTCATTAGGTATTATGGCTCCTTTTCATACATGTAGCATGAAAAGTAGGGGTTAGTGTACATATAAGAAAGTTTTGATATTTTTTATATCACCACCCCCTATTTCTTTTCAGCATTTAATGAAAATAAATCAAGGCATTTAGGCGTGAAAGTGCTGTATATGTTTTTATTCACTAAATATTCAAGAAAAGTGTGATAATTTCAGGTACATGTAATAATTGCAGTTTTGTTAAGAAAAGCTTTTTATGAGCAAAAAGTAATCAATTAACACATAAAACTTCATAATAGTTTGTAAGATGTCTTCTCTTTCTTTTGCCCTGCGTGTTCCGATTGGGTCCTGGTTTGTGGTGTTGGATGGTGGCTTCCCTGGGATTAGTCAAATCCAGTCCCACTTTCTCAATCCGATTTGCATGGTTTTCTCCATATGATTTTAGTGGTTCTAAGACTCTGCTTTATTCAAAAGTTCTTCATTTGTGATTCTTGTGACAAGACTTACTTGGAAAAAATATTTTAGAAAAAAAAGATTATAATTACTGGTAGTATCATTGTTCAAAAAATGTAAAATCATTATTTTGTCTATCTGACTTTGTTTTTTTAACCCAAGCCTGTAGTTTAGAATCAAATAATTTCTAGAAATATTCCATTTTTTAACCCGCATAGGCCGCCATAGAATGAAGCGACATAGTTTCTTATAGAATGTAAACAGCTAAAAACTATAGATATTATCTTATTATTTTCTTACGGTGTGTCTATAAATTTGAAATAGATAGTCTGCATTTACAATATCAAAGGAAATTTATCATATACCACGAGCTAAAGTTGCAATAAAAAAGATAATAAGATTGCTGTCGTCTGCACGCATCTAAAGACCCCTCAGGCCTAACGTTCCGTACATGTATGTAACATGTTTATGCTACGTTTCAGTTTGCGATGTGACATTATACTATGTATTTTGAAACTTTTGTATTTATAATGCATAAAAATTGCCATTTTCAATAAGTTTGAAAGCATTGTAAACCTACATTTTCACTTTTTCCGCTGTTACTGGAACGTCGTCAACACACTTCGGCGCTCTTGGCTGGCATATTTGGGGACCGCTTTCGAGAATGTACCTGTAGGCCTAATTGTGATATCGGCAATTTTTTAAATGTTTTAAAATTTCTGTCGGTTGGCTCTTTTAACGGAGTGCCATTCGGCATTCCTGTCGCTTTGAAACGGGCGATCCCGTCTTCTTCTCCTCTCGATCATGTCGATTTCACTTGTCGACGTTCTTTGGCCTATGTCGTAAATATCATAATTTTGCACACGTCTTGGTCATCAATACAACATAGAAAGATTTTTTTAAGCGGTTAGCTTCGCTAACCGCTTTATGGCATGTGTCCGATTTTTATCGACACCGGAAACTTCCATAAGGCGCTACCTATCGACAAGCAGAAGGATAAAACGTACGCTGAACTAGGACCTTAGGTCCCCTGCTCAGTTCACGACTATCGGGCCTGTTTACTCCGCTACAAAATGTAGTGCGTTGCATACGTAAAGTGAAAATAGAATAAATCGTAATACTGTAAAGCCTTTACAGTGTAAAACAACTTTTTAAAAGGAATAACCATCTGATGGGTATTAGAAAAGATAGAGGGGGTGGAGGGTGGGTGCTGAGCAACATTAACTGCAGTTTTAAACGATATATGATATATAAGCGTTTAACATTTGTGGATTACGTTAGGTGACCTGTGGTCTCCCCTATGATTTTATTCCATGTAAGGTTATAGTATCTATATAACACAGTGCCTAACCTCTGATCTTCTTACTAATAGTATGCGACTCAGAGTATTATAAA